GCCCACCCCCCCCCCCCCATACTTTTTGACCAGTCCCTTATCTAGGCCGTTCCACAAACTAACAACTCTGTACTGGAATGATCGCTGACCAGCAGCTGTTTTAAATAAAGGGATATTTTTAACAATTAAAATTGTTGTGGCGTGTTACGTGGCCAGAGACTAGGCCTCTGGTAACAAGCTTGTATGTGAGGTAATCTAGGACACAACCCGTCAGACATTTAATCGCAAGAACAGCGTCCCTTAGATATAATTGCTACGTTATAGGTAACCATCACAATTCCCGATGAACTGGAGAGATATGATCGAATTTTCTCGCTCTACTAATTATCCGGGCAGCAAAGTTCTGTACGCGTTGCATTATTCATTGCAATATTTGAAAGCTCTCAAAAGGAAATATATAACCAAAATTTTTCAATAAAATAATCAGTGTAATCTACCTAGCAAACATTTACCTGCAGACTGGTTTTTTAAAATGGTGCCTCCGCCGAAGTCACTATCGGCTCGTCAATTTAATTACAAATCCGTGTATCGGGAAACATCGCAAAGATTATACAGGTATAGGGCTAGCAGAAGAGGAAAAGGGAAAACAAACCAAGAGAGACTAAAACCAAAAGCAGAAACAAAATATAAAGAAAATGATAATAAAAACGGTTTCCCACGATTTTCGCTCCTATTAAAGTACGTCTGTTGTCGAAATTTAGTTGGTTGCCAAAAGCATTTCTTGACCGCTAAAAACGGCTAGCGCAAAAACAACAGGGCCAACAACAACATCAACAAGAAAAAAGAAAAGAGGGAGGAAAGCAGGAGTCCTCACGGCAAGATATTCGCGGATGGTCACTCAACCAGTTTGTTACAGCCGAAAATGGACGCGACACTGTTTATCCAATTTTTATATGTGACATTTTAGTGACGCTTAAATGAAATGATTAGGTGAAAAAAACCCGGATGTGAGCACATGGGGCGCTTTCCATTTAGGAAAAAAACCCGGAAATTTCGGTGGTAGCAAAAGTGGAATTTCCGATTGGTGAAAAGTTGTTCCATTTGGTCGTAAACCGCGGTACGTGGCGGTGCCCGACCGTGGAGCTGGAACTGGTACAAACTACAAGAAACGTAAATGGAACACGACATTCCGTTCGGAAATTCCAACCGGGAAAACGGGTCCACCTTTTTAGATTTTCCACTTTTTCTGGGAATTTTCCAGTGGGACGAAGCGACGAAACGTGTTCCATTTACCGCCGAACCGGAAATTCCGGGAAATTTTGACTAAATAGAAAGCGCCCATGGTTTTGTCTTTAGTTTTTGTTCGCTTGCACTATTTTGGATGGTCGCCTGTATACGATTGTAAAACTTATTTGGAAACTAATATAGTCCAGAACTGTTCGTACTTTGGTTTTGGTGGTTATTTTTTGGTTGCGGGAACAATTTTCTGGTCCTTGACTAGCCGGATAAAACAAATCAAGCAAATGAAGCGAGCGAATCATGGCTTATAAAAACGATAGTGGTGAACTGGAATCGGCCGAACGATCAACAATTTCAACTGTGAAAACATAAAGAGTTGTGGTGAAAATAAGAATTACGAATACCTTAAAGAAAATAAAAGGTACTATTGAGCAATATGGCAGGAAATTTATTAATCGTGGTTATGTAAAAATTCTGGAAGAGTCGCTCAATGAAGCACACGTTTTAAGCAATCAACTGTTGGCTATGCTCCAGGAAAACGAACATGAAATGCCCTTAACTGGTATGAAGAAGAGCTGGAAAGAGTTGAGGAAGCGAAATTAGAAGCTGAGGCAAATCTGGAGGAAAGGAAAGAGGAGAGTCATAGCGCATTAAGCTCAATGAAACTGAGTAAATCCTCAGCAGACTCTCACGTGGCCAAAATTCGTGCCAAAATGGCGTCGGCAGAAATAAAAGCAAGACAGCTAGAAATGGAAGAAGAACGACGAACGAAAGAGTTTGAAAAACAGCTGGAGATAAAACACAAGATCGAACAAGCAGGAAACGTGGCTCAAAGAATTGAGTTAGAAGCTAAAGAAAGGAGAAAAACGCAAGAAGCAAAGGACGAGGCAGCAAGCCTTGCGGCAGAATGATAATGATAAAACTATAGAAGAATATTCAAAAGCGCTTTACAGTGAGTTAATATTAATGAATAAATAAAAAATAAAAAATTTAAAAATCCCTGAAAGCTGTAATAATAACAATGATATGTTATGCTATGGTAAAATCTAAAAAAATGAAATTCGAAAATTCCGAACTAAATTAAAATTAAACATTAGAAGTATTCCAACAAATTAACAGCTTTCTTAAAAAGAAATGTTTTAAGTTGCTTTTTTGAAGAAGAAGAAGCCGAAAACCTTGAGAAGGTACGAAACTTTGCCCATTACAATGACCCTGAGTCTTAACCCAATCGTCTCCTTGATTTTGATGATGATTCGCTAGAGTTAATTCCACTGTCTGGATTGACGCAAAGTGTACAAACAAGTCATGTAACGTCATTATCCTCATCGTCCCAACCACTGTCTGGATCTATGCACAATGTACATGCAACTCAGGTTACATCATCACGAATGTTTATGAAACCAAGACCAAGCGGTCTAAAGGCTTGTCAAAGTCCAAAACATCAACACCTGTTTACCCAGTCCTGGGTTGAAAGTTACCAAAAACAGCATATTGCATCAAGTCCTGAGCGGACACATGTTACTTATGGCTCTTCAATTCTTCCTAAGTTACAGCACAAGAAATTTGACGGTGACCCTTAGCAATGGCCGAATTGGTCATCGATGTTCAAATCAATTGTTCATGATGCTGATTTGTCTTTGAATGGAAAGATGCAACACCTTCAGAACTCTGTGGTTGGTAGAGCAAAGTCTGCAATTGAAGGGTATGGTTACAGTGGGGATTCTTACTATGAAGCATTGAAAGAATTGGAAGCTAGATTTGGAAAACCGTCACTTGGAGTGTAAAAGTTACATTTGACAGATTGAGAAAGACATCGCGAATGAAGAATGACAGACCACATGAAGTGAGAAACTTATCAGATATTGTGTCAACTACTCTCTGGATCTTTAAAAGGTTTGGATACAAGAATGACCTAGCAGCCGAAGCTAACATCGCTATTGCAGTGGATAAACTATCCCCAGATTTGCAAGTCGAGAGTAAGGACAATGTGATAACAAGCAATTTACATCAACCAAGCCTGGAGGACTTTTGTAACTGGCTAAAGGGTCAGGCGGATAGTTAGGATGACTGCTTCAAGTTCTCATTCAGAGGCCGCTATGAAGGTGCTGGTGAAAGGCACAATACTTTCTTTGGTAACTTCTCATCACGTAACAAGCAAGCTAAATTTTGTTTAATGGGAGATGAACAGCAGCATAACCTGTCAGCTTGCCCCAATTTTAAAGCCTTAAGTGTAGCTGAACGCCTCAGTGAACTTAAAAAGCATAAGCCGTGTTTTTGCTGCCTACGACCTGGTCAT